CATCATCATCAAACAGTAAAAAAAAAAAAAATCACTTATTTATTTTTTACTTTTCATGACAAGCTATCCTATGAATCTCTTAGGTTTGGCAAGGGGGTCACAGAATTAAAAGTACTAAGAGTTTCTTACAAGGCTGGAAACAATCTCACCCAAGTGTAAAGAGAGTTTGGAGAGCTATTGAACCACTAAGTTGTACAATACCTGCTGCAGAAGTACAGTTAAAGGCATGGAATACAATTACAGTATGCAATTATACGATCAAGAGGTGATGGTAAAAACATGCAAAATAGCATGAATTAATTAGGGCTATTTTTATATTTATTTAAAGAGATTATAAAAAACCCATAAATACTAATACCTAATTAGTATTTATGGGTTTTTTTCTTTGTTTTTTCAGGTGGCCTGACATCATGGCACCAGCTGTCACCTAACTTAAGCTACTGTATCTTTGTATTGTGCTTGTAGTACTGTCTGAGGTTTTCCTGGACAAAGCAAAATTCCATACCCTGAGCTGACCATGAGGCAGTCAGACTGTTTCACTAGGAATGACACAGAAACTTTGACCTTAACTTCCTCGAATCACTGCCAAAAATAACAATCTAACTGGCACAACTTGCTGAAATACACACTGTAAAATAAACCACATTGCTTTTTCTCAGAATACACTGAAACTAGAAATAATATCGAACAGAGAAATGGAATCACAATGCCACAAACATGCATCCATTCTCTGAATCAGTCAACAGGTGAAATGACTGCTGAGGGATAATCATTCTGTCAAACCAGTACTTCCACCAGAGAGTCATCATATTTACACACTGAAAACTATTACTGTGCACCAAACTAAAGAGGGGGAGCTGTTGGTTTGACTCCAAACTAGCCCCCTTTAGTCTGAGCTGTTGTAGAAAGGGTACGTCTTGCACTTTGGCAGTGCAGCTGCATTGTGAGTACAGACTTGGGTACAGCAAGTTATGCATGAGAACTTAAGACATTATAAAACTGCCTCTCCTCACGTAGTCTGTTATTGTCTAATTTACTCTGGCTAATAAAGGCAAAGAAGAAGAAAAAACATCACATGACAGAAGCAACAGCTTACCCGAGTTTGTAATTTCTTCTCCTCTCCCTGGACCGTAGGCATCTCCTCGTTTGCGAGTGTGGAGTATTTCGCATCCGGGTCCACGGACACAGTCCTGTGCTCCACAGTAGCAGCGGGTCTCTTCAGATTCCAGCCGCAGCCCGCTGCTCCCTGCGTGGTCGCTAGTTCCTGCTCGACCCCGCATGAACTCTGAAGACATAACGCCTTATTCACGCAGCCAAAGATGAATAAAAAAACAAAACAATGCATTATTCTTGCAAAACCCTGGGCAATAGCTACAGTACAATGCTCATGTTGTTGATACTTCCGCGAAGTCACGTGGTCAGTCAGCTGGCTGCGGCGTAACAAAACGTAACTGTTTCCTGCCCGAAACCAATTGTTCTTGTTTATTTCTATTAATCCACACTATTTTTGTAAACTGTGAGCATGGCTTGTTAATATAGCAGATTAAATTTGTTTTAATAGTACATAAAATTATATACTTGAAAACACTAATCAAGTAATAGTTAAACTATAACCATAAATACATAAATGACTGTTTATATCAAACACATTTTTTCTGCTCCGCACAATCACGTTTCCTTGGTGTTATAGGATGGGGCCACATGGACATCATTTCCCAGCTATCAACACTATGGCCACTTGTGAAGAAGAAGAAGAAGAAGAAGTGGCAGTGAGCCAAGGCAGCTCAGCCAGCCAGAAGAAGAAGAAGCTGCTCAGCCAGCAGTGTGCTGCCTTCCTCAGTTAACGCAGCCCCAAGGCACCGACAAGCGCAGAAAGGTGATAGAACTGTCAAAAAACTGGATTATTAACAGTCGCTGACGGCTGTATCTCACTCGCAGCCCGGTGGAAAGGAGATGAGAGGTACAGTCATGTTGTCTTAGCTGGTCCAGAGAAAGCTGAACATCCGAGCGGTTACCGCGGCAGAGGTAAAGTTGAGCCACAACTTTAGTTTCCTATCTTCCTATCTCTGCCTTCTCTCTGCAGAGAAAAAAAAAAAACGGGTTGTCTCCTTATATTGTTAACAAACAGCTCACGGCTCATGACCAACGCTTATGATGTTGTCTTTTGTATAATGGTGACCAAAAACAGACAACGGGTCTGACTGCGAGCTGCTGTGAAATAGTGTGATTGCGTTTACTCAAGTTTCATGTGTTTTACATAAACAGGCTTGTAATGTGCGCTTTTACTGTAGAGTAGCATTCCATCTTTAAGCTTACGGGGGTCTACAATCAGCCAAAGCCACCGTTGATAGTTCATTTATTTAATGATTTATAGACCTCAGTGAGAGGCAGTGCTTCAAAACGCAGACCCGAGTGAACGGAGCCTGCGGTGTTCACAGCCTCAGCGGCGATGACCTGTTGCAGGTGCACGAAGCTTCCTGGCACCGTAGCTGCACTCTCTAATAATCAGCAGCTGTTAAGCTCTAAACCAAATAGGTTGCAGTAACGGCAAACAGAATTTTCCTGCAACTATGCAAATCCATACGGGCAAACAGTGGCATCAGTGTAGTCGCGACCTCTCAGGAAACCCACTGCTCTAAATTTGCACTGCCGCCTGTGAACCTCAGCTACATCTGTGCATGTGTGGATATTGAGTGGGTGTATTGTTACTGTCATATAGAAAATGCATGTGTGCTCTGCGCTGCATAACTGAAGTAAAATAATTGTAGGATGTTTCTGATGTTTTACTGCCGTGTAAGAAATTAGGCTTTTCCTCTCATTTCACTCACTTTCCTCTGTTCTTTTGCTGCAGGTGTTTGTGCCAGACATGTCCGATAAGATGTCCAGCTTCCTACACATTGGGGACATCTGCTCCCTGTATGCAGAGGGTTCTACCAACGGTTTCATCAGCACCCTGGGGTATGTCCATCTTACTGGCTGAGCATTTGGTGTGAAGGCTCACTTCACACTTCGTGAGATCACGCTGGTGGTGGTGACTGTTCATCAGTCAGTTAAAAACCCATTTGATTTTGGTGTTGATTCGGGTCAGTGTCCAGATCCAGGAATTTTTAAAAAGGTGCCTCAACCATTGTGAGATAGGACCAGTTCCAGTATTTTTGCTCCACTCTCCATACAGTGTCTGCAATGCTTAGACAAAAATTGCACAGTAACATCCACATAAGATCTACCACACACCAAAGTCTGATGTGGATCCAAGTAATATTCCAGATCTGCTCATGCAACAGATGAACATTTGTATGTTTCACAGGCATCAGTTCCCACCTTCAGTGATCTAAAGATAAATAGATATAATTTTTCAGGTTATCCCACAGAATAAAGCTGTGAAAACAGTAGTTGGTCTATAAAGTGGTGCTTTGGCCATGACTGACCTCACCACTGATAGTGATGGTAGAAAAGGAAATAAAGGAGCAGCAAATGCACAGTTAATGCTAAAGTGTTTGTGAGAGTGTGGCAGGAGTGGGTGTAGGGGGCAGGGCTGGAGGCAAAAAATGCTGAGGCAGTGGTGTTTATGATAATGACGGTAAAACTATTTACAAGTCACTCATTCACTCACAGAGTCACAACAATATTGTGCCATTTTTCTCCATCAATTCAACATGACATTTGAAACACAATAGAAATGGTACTGATTTCCTAGAAGTAGCAGAATGACCTAGTGCATGGATCGTCTGCCCTCAGATGAAGAACCTATGCTGAGGAGGGAGAAACCTCTTTGACTATTAGCTTCTCCAGCTGGGCTGCATGCCCAGCCCCCTGTTTGGTAGCTCACTAGAGTGGGTCTGTGGGATAAGTTAAGGTAAAAAACGCTGCTTTGTACAGCCAGCCTGCAGCAGGACATGTCCTGTAATTATTAAACTTGTGTTAATCACTGACCACATCCAGATTAAATAGTAAGTTATGTGGATTGTTCTTTTAAGTGCATTTTTCCTTTAAGTCTGCAGACGTGTTACTAGAGGTGTAGACTGGTGAAGCAGACAGGTCTGTTTGGACATCTGTAGACATTCCACGGGAAAAGGCCTGAAATGGATGTGTGTTTTGGCAGGTGTCCAGACAAGTGTTGTACTGAGCAAGTAAACGCTAAATTTGTCACAAGAAATTTCAGCCTGCCCACAGGTGACCTAATCCAGAATTCTTCAATTACTCTGTAGAGGGAGGTGGCACGGGAGAGCAGTGGTTAGTGCTTCACAATGTCGCAGAAGGTTCCGGGTTCGAGCCCAGGCCGACCCGGGGCCTTTCTTTGTGGAGTTTGTATGTTCTCCCAGTGCCTGCATGGGTCCTCCGGCTTCCTCCCACAGTCCAAAGACATGCAGCTTTGGTTGATTGGTGACTCTAAATTGCCCGTAGGCGTGAGTGTGAGTGTGTGTAGTTGTTTCTCTACATGTCAGCCCTGTGATGGACTGGCAACCTGTCCAGGGTGGACCCTGCCTCTCACCCAATGTCCAGCCCACCGTGACCCTATTCGGGAATCAGCGGTATAGATAATGGGTCCAATGGGTGATTATGATGCTCTGTGCTAAAAACTTCCGCCATTAAGTTGATTCATTTGATTATCAAAACATTAATCAACACTAATTGCAATAAGTGAACATTTGAGTAGTTTATTAAGCTTACAAACCTTATGCTTGCAACATTTCTGATGTGAAAATCACAGCTTACTTGTTTGTTTTATATTATACCTTCCATATTCACCTTATTAGATTATTAATCCATAAATAATAATTCAGAGAGGAAGTGGGCCGGAATTATGGCTAGCTAACTAATATTTGATCATTTTCACTATTGAATAATCTGATTATTGTTTTCTTGATTAATTAATTCATAGTTTAGTCTATTAAATGTTATAAAACAGTGACAAAGACCATTAGAGTTGTTTTGTCTTGCCAAGCATCCAAGCCCCAAAGATATTTAGTCTGCTATAAAATATCACTAAGAAAACCTCTGAAATTTCTTCCACTGACAATTTTGCATTTTTGCTTTAAAAATTATATCAAAATCATCAAACATCAACTCTCAAAAATAGGCAAGCAAAATGCTTGCTAAAAACAGGAGCACTAATGATGGTATGTAGCGCAGATTTTATTCCAAACTAAAAGCTGACATTTTGGCAATCGCGTGCCTTCCTCTGAGCTTAAAATACAACAGTGGCCCACTCATATATATATACACACACACACACATTAGTGTCATTAGCATTTTGCTTGTTTATATTTGTGAGTTCCTGTACGTCTTGAGCAGTTGCACCCTCCTTTAGTCTGAGCATGCTAGGCCTAAGTTTTTCATCGGCAAACATCATTTCAGAGTTCTACACATCTCCAAGTATCATTTCAGCTTTCGAATACCTGAATATTCATGACTTGCAGCCTCATAATGTGCTTAAAAGAATTGACACTGCCACAGATATCCAAAACCCAGGGCACAAACTGGCTCCTGTGGGTGCTGTGCTGTACCTGCATGTGATTAATAGTGTTTTTATGTTTCTATTCACAGCTTGGTTGATGACCGCTGCGTCGTCCAGCCTGATGCCGGCGACCTCAACAACCCTCCAAAAAAGTTCAGAGGTAGGATGCACAGAGAGTCGTCTCCCCTCATCCTCCTGAGGCCTGCCATCATCGTACTGTCTGTTTATATGGCTGCCTCTGTGAGAGTGCTGCTGAATGTGTTGTGCTGTGTTTCTCTGGCGACAGCCACAAAACCTCTGCCTGCTGGACTTCAAACAGCACTGTCTTTCACAATATTAGTTGTGCATGTGTCTGTGCATGCATGCTTTTGCATCCATGCATGCGTTTATAGCTGTGTGTGCCTCATTTCTGGACGTAGAGGCAGATAGAGAAAATCAGCTCTGATGTTGATTTGTTGGAAAACAGAAATAACACACTTGAAAAGCTGCTTTTCAAGCAACAGCCATGAGATGCCATTTTGGGTGAACATGCTTATATTAGCTCTCATACAGGAAGTAAAGCTCATGACCCTTAGTTCTCAGGCTAGAGGTTTATATCTCTGGGGAGAGGCTTGGCCTGACATTGTGCAGAGAATACGAGTATATTGAGGCTTGTGTAACACATTTAACAGGTATATCTTACATTTCTTTGACAATGCGGAATAAGTACTTGATTAAAGAATGTAACTTTATTGGATAGTTGTCTGATAGATTAAAAAGGTATGTGCAATGTTAATCAGCTTGGTTTTAAAGTTGCTCCATTTGGCTTTGAAGCGCACATGCCCAAAATCTCCATTT